GATAAAAATTTAAATAACTCGATGTATGATTTTTATGGACTCTTGTAAATTATTTTGTTCTTAATGTAATAATTTAGTTGCATTAATTTTTGAAAACAAATGGAAAAGATTAAGAACACTATTCATTATGAAACAGTCACCCATAAATATAAGTTCTGGAAACTGAATTCATTTGTATTATATTGAATGATAAAGAAAATAGTGAAATGTCTTTGATAAGAAAAACTAAACATTTTTACATTGAGAAAAAAAACTAGATTAATTTCGTTGTCAAGAGTAATTATTCCCAGAAAAAAAGAATTTAATAAGCAAACTGTCTTCAAAAGACAGCACTAACGAAAACAAATATGAAAACATCATCTATGGTTACCATTTATTTCCAAAGTACGGTCAAAGATGGTTCAATTCTATATTAATGCATTCAGGAATGTGCCTATGGGGGGAAACAGGGGGGGGGGAGGGGTGTTACGTCGTTAGAGCTGAATGAGACGCAACTATTAAATATGCCAGGTGCCACAATAACTTGAGTTGGCAAGTGATAAGAGTAATATGAATAAATATCGAATATGGATCAAAATCCAAAGTGTATTAGTGAACAAGAAAATAGAGAGAAATAACTGAATAAAAAAATAAGCAGTAGGAGTAAGAAGTTGAAATTATTAGTTAATAAAAACAAGAGTGATATAGATGAAAGTATTAATCATAATAATGAAGCGCGGAAAAAGGGAAAACGAAATTAAAGACATAAAAAATATATACACATACACAACAAACATCAATATGATAAGATCAGTGACGATGTTGCCATCATAGGGCTCCCGTACCAAATGAAAACGAACCTCCGGATCGTTAAATATGACGGTGAAAGAGAGAAAAATGTGTAATATTGAGATGATGGTTGAAGTTGTTAAAAAGATAAAAATTATAAGAGAGAAAAAGGAATGAAAATTGAGTAGAAGAAAATGTGAAGATGAGGAGGATAGATTATGTGTATGATGTAGTAATATTGTAAAAGAAAATGAGAAGAAGGAAAAACGAAATTAGAACAGTAAAGAGGGCGCAAAAGTTGAGTTAATCAAAGAAACACAAAGCAACAGAAAATATAACCATGCAATGGCTACACAAAAGGAACGAGCCGAAAAATCAATAGTGATGAAAGGAGTAAATGGTAAATTAGAATGGGTAATTTACATAGATAAATGGGGAAATGAAGAGTTATATCAAAGTAGTCACGAATGGCTCTTTGGTAAGTAAAATAGAATAGAAGTAATTGAGTAGAGAAAATTGAATATGATAAATAAGAGTATTCTAGATGACAAAAGCCGAGAAAGAGCCAATACAATGTTCGTTGAAAAATCAGTCGTGGACATAAGAACGATTAAACCAGATCCACGACCGTATAGACCTTTCTTCATATGGAAGAAAAGTAGGTGTATTATAAATGACAAAAATCAAAGAAAAGTACGTTGTGTATTGTAGAATAAACAACGAAAAACAAAGAAAAACAAGTCAAATATAGCAACACGTCTATATATGACCGCACTATTGTTGACATTGTGATGATTATAATACATTATTAGTGCGCTGTGAAGAGCAAGAGAGATGAATTAAATACACAAAGATACAAAAGCAAAAGAAACGAAAGTCGGTGAGAACGTTAATCGAAAGATGATGAGTGAAAATCAAAGTTGGAAATGAATAAGAAAAATGATAGACGAGACAAATAGTTAAAAAGAGACGGAAGAGAGAGAAACAGAAGAAAAAAGTTTGTAATGGCATGAAAAAAGTTAGTTTGGTTGTTTTTTTTGTTTATATGGTTTGATGAAAACCATCGACGCAATCAAACGAAAGAAGAAGACAATGTAATGTAAAAGTTGAAAAGAAAAATGTAAAGCCTAATCGATGATATTGAACAAAGGGTGGGGTGTGGGTGTGGGTGTGGGTGTAGGTATTGGTGTGAATGAAGATGAGAACCACCCACATCGACACCCATACCCACCCCGCACCCACACCCACACCAACACCCACACCCACCCTAGTGATGAAAGCTGTTGAGTACTGCTCGAAGAGAAGTTATATTAGAATCTGGTTTAATTAAAACGAATGTATCATCGACAAATCGTCGCCAATACATTACTCCAAGATCTTGTAATTGTGGCATAAGGGTTTTTTCGAGTCCAATCATAAATATGTCTGCTAATCATGGTCCTAGTGGGGATCCCATTGAAACTCCATTATGCTGACAATAAACTTGGCCATTAAATAAAAAATTTGTTTTTGAAGTAGCTGTTTTTAGCATCCACTTCATACTTTGCCTATCCTAACAATTTTTACGAAGAATACTTTTATTTTTGTCCTTAATACATGAATGAGGCAGCCCATACAATGTTAGTAAGATTAAATCAATTGTGAATTGCAAAGGAACCGTTGTAAAGAGACTAATAACGTCAAAAGATAACATACGAAAGGTAGACGAATCTCTAGATGTTGATTGTAATTCATTAACAAACGAGAACCTATCATTAATGGTGGTGGTGGAATTCCGTTGATGAGAGAGACGCTTTACTAAGAGCTTAGCTAAACCATAATGATAGGTGCTGGATGATGAGAGGATAGGTCTAAGTGGAATGCCTTCTTTATGCACTTTGGAGCGTGGGTGTGGCTGTGGGCGTTGGAGTGCATTCTTTCTCTTCAGTCACAGCCACACTCATACCCACAACCAAATTCGAACAAAATATAAAATTTTGCAAACATTCTCAAGTGTCTCAAAATTTTTTCCCAGGACTGTAATTGTTTTATATCTCATCAAACATATGTCAATAATAAAATACAAATAGGCACGAAAAGAAATTCTAATCTTGCATTTCAACTATTTTATAAGCGATATTTGCAATTTTGTTATAGAAAGTTATGCATTCCATAATATTAGGAAGATCTTGTGCCTTTTTCATAAACTATTGAAAATATTTTGTTTTCTGCATATACCTAACTCTTGATAAAACTTAGATAAATATAGAAATAGATCTTTATCATTTTAATAGCAAGATAAGATTCAATATTATTTATTTATTTCCTTAGAAACTCTTGAAAGTAACATACATCTTCTCTGCTTTTCTAGAGCTTATGTATCTAATCTAAATGAAACATTCTTCCTAATTTCTAGGTATAATTTCGATAAGATCTAGACTTTATAAGTTCCGAGAAAACATAGGAGGTACTTGAATAGATAATTTCTTCTGTAATAAATTATATTTTTGTAACAAAGCACTAAGAAAATGTATTCGAAACATACATTTTGTTCTTATTTTGACGAAACGTCAGAGGTAAATATTTGAAATCCTGATTTACTATGTGTTCTACTAAGTTTATTCTCGATATTGGTTTTAATAAACATCTCCTTGATTAAGTCCAAAATCAAACTTTTGAGTCAGCTGACTTCTCTCATTTTATTTACATCTTTAAATAAATTTACGGTTTCTAGATAGAATCCTTAATATAGAAAAAATAGAGTTGCATAGTGATGAGCCAAAATGAAATAATAGACTGAGAAATACAGACATGATTGATCGATGCTACATAACATTATAAAAAAAAGTAGATTCTTCTGGTGTGACTATTTTCTCAAATTAGTCTCACTATGGGATCTAGTGTATTGATGGTTTTATATGTCTTAGTATTGTATAGTAGTCTTTTCAAAATCTATATCTATTTTATTAATCCTACAGCAAAACAATGGACTTTAGATGTGTCAATAAAAAACAGGCTTCAGTCTTGGAAAAATAACTTTCTTTTATTTTACTGCTGCTTCTCTAACTGTGCTTCCCCGGCAGTCAAAATAAATACAACAATTCTCTAAATAAAACAAAAACAGCGGTTACATATTTATCTTTCTGCGTCACGCTTATTGACTACGATGAAATAGCAAAACTAAAAAGAAACAAATTTATCTTCCTGTGTCACGCTTACAGTATTACGATAAACAAGCAAAAAAAAATGGAGGGGGGAGGAGAAGAAACATTCATGAGATGAATACAAGAGGAATCAAAATTATTCACGTTAGAAGAAAGCAATGTGCACGTATATATAAACTACTCACCTTTAAAGTGACGTTGCATTTCTTTTTGCAACTGCGAAAATAAAATATTTTATATTAGAGTATAGTATTACTACGTCTATATACGTAACCATGGCATGTTTTAGAAATGCATTTTCGAATATTTTGTGTGGTAAGTGACATTCGAATGGGACTATTGATCGGATCAGATTTTTTCTTCTAATCAAAGGACACAAGAAGCAGACTAAAGTGCAATACTGTGTCATTCGTTGGTTGGATGATGACAGCTTGGAGGTTGTCGCTCAAAAATCTATTGAAGCATCATCTGATGCGATTAAAACCTTTCAAGTGTACACTATTAGAAGTAATGGTAAAAAACGTCGAGGAACGGTCATCTCCAAAGGTATGATAAGTTTTAGTACATATTTGAAGTTGTCTAAAAAAAGACTTTCTCTAGGAACAAAACAAGACTGTGAAATGCTTCATGACAATGTCACTCCCAGAATTTTGATGAAAGAAGCCGTAGGAGCGAACAAGAGTAAGATAATATGTTATGTATGTCTTATGAAGTAACTTCTCTTTTATCAACAGACCTATCACCATCAACGATAATGACTAATGACAAAATCTTGCGCACTAATATATCAACTAACTCAGAAGGTCAGTCTGGTATGACCATTTTATTTTAGTAGATCAATTTTGAGAAAAAGACCCACATGTTTAAAATAATCGACTTCTAGGTGAGGAAGATGAGAAATCTTGTGATGCTGCTCGAATGGCTGTAATGCTACAAACCTTACAATTACTTGTTCAGGGAGTAAAAAATGGTAATGATGATGACGACGGTAATGAAGTGCACAATGTTACATGTGATGTATGTGAAAATACTCCAATACGTGGCGATTATTACAAATGTTTGCAATGTGATAATTTTGATCTATGTGCTGGATGTTTTGAGCGTCGTATGGAATCTAAGCAACATAAAAGTGGACATTTACTTGTCCACTTTCGTATACCAAACGAACTCTTCGGTCGAACTGTAACTTATGACGAAATTACCTTTGCGAAACTCAAACAATTCTATGCCAAAGAAGTAAACGAGTCGATCACCTGTGATGGATGTATGAAATCGAACTTTGTTGGATTACGTTTCAAATGTGATACGTGTCCAAATTATGACTTGTGTGAAAAATGTTCCATTACATACGTCACGACAAAAGATCATAAGTTAATGCATCCACTGATTTTGACTTCTCATCGGGTAATCGTACAGATACCTGTGGATGACATTGAACTAGGTGAAGAATTAGGAAGTGGTGCTTTCGGTAATTGTTACTCATTTTTTCATCATTTTGATATTTGAATTTTTTCAAGGTGCTGTTCACAAGGCACGATGGATATCGAAGAATCGTGAGGTGGCGTGCAAAATAATTTTTGCGCCTGATACTAACCAGATCTCTGCTCTGGAAAATAGTTTTTTCAAAGAGCTATCTGCCTATACAGAACTGTCAGGTGGTTACATTCTCCAAACATATGGATATGCCATGACTTGGCAAAATAACAACAGAATTTACATGATCATTACGGAATATATGGCACGTGGTAGTCTAGCAAATGTACTCAAGGAAAAAGGTAAAATATCTCTACGTCGAAAAGTCCACATGGCTAGACAGATCGCCAGTGGAATGCGAAAGATTCATGATCATCACATGATTCATCGAGATATTCGACCAGATAACATTTTGGTTAATCAACAGTATACTTGTAAAATCGGTGACATGGGTATTGCACGCGTTACAGATCCACAGAATCGACATACACAGATTGGTTGTCAGCCTTTTATGCCACCAGAATTTTACGAGGGTACTTATGATCAAAATTTGGATATTTTCACATTTGGCCTAACTTTAAATGAACTTTTTACTGAAACCCAGCATGTCTTTCGACAAAGAGCCACAGAGAAAATTGTTTTCAAAGAAGAGAGTCCGATCTTTCGAGATCTTATTACTCGATGCACAGCCGATGATCCGAAACATCGACCAACAGCGACTGAGATTGAAAAGACTCTGGAACTGTACACTCATGGTTTTGACATGATCGTTTTGAAGAAACAAGCGAATTACGTTCGTTTATCTACTGAACAAAAGGATCAAGCTTTCATCGACTTCTACGAACAATTTCATAAATCAGCAGCAGAGTTTATTCGAAAGAAATTTCCAGTCGAATTTTTACAGGAGCCAAAATTTGTAGCTGGCGTAAAAGTTAAACGCGATGTCGAGAATGATCAACAAGTTGATTGTCATGTGCAATAGAATAAAATGACTTTGACTGATGTTGGTCGATATCTATTTCGTTTTACATTCTCGGAGAAAAAGTAATTTACTCTAATGCTGTTGCGTTGTGCTGTTTATTCAATGTTACCTTTTACAATATGTTTTGAGAAATAAATAGAATAAACAGAGTTAGAAAATAATCATCCATTGGTTCATACTCAAGTAGTCATCCGATAGTCATTTGGATGGGTCGATTTGTAGCTATCATGAGTATCGAAACTAGAAATAAAGTGTTCGAATTCTCACTTTCCGATAGATCGTGGGCACAGCCATGGATTAGTAAAAACATAATATTTCCGACTACTTGAATGACTTTAATCGAGGAGATCAAAAGAAAAAGAATTAAAAATTCTTTTTCTTCTGTCAATGTTAACTTTTCAGTTCTTAAAAGAATCTTATCTGGAGATATCAGTTTTCTGTTTAGTTTTTTTGAATTTACGAAATTTTATTTTTTTTTGTGACATAATAAATTTTCCTAAATGTTAATTAATCAACCTCATTGTACCTTCGATTTATGGATTTTCTAACAGCAGTCTAAATTTAGAAAAAAAAATACTTTTTTTAGTTGTCTAACAAAAGCAGTGACTCGATCAAGAGTTTCAGATGCTAGATAAGAAACTTAACTGGAAAATACGACATTTCACAAATAACTGATTTCTGGAGTAAGTCACCAAATCATTAGTGAAAATTTTTTTTTTCTTTAACATTAATAGTTTTTTTCCTCCAGTACTCGAAACTTAGATAGGTATTCATGCATCAAAAGTGCTTCCATGAGTTTAGTATGGATTTGTGGTAGGACAATGTTCTATTAGCCGAAATCGAATAGCTCTCACGGGGCTCAAAATTAAAACAGAATGAACAAATATACATATTTCACATTTTCGAGAGCTTATCATACGCATTGTACGTATTCTGGTGTTCTGCTTGAGTACGAAATTATGTAATGAAAAGACTACTTTCAATTTTCAAAATGTACACGTTAAAGCACACTAGCCAAGTTGATGGAATTTGCTTCAAGTCGTTGATGCCTTATCCAAACATTTAATCTGACAAACGAGATACGCTTGTAAAACTGTGGACAGTGAGGTAAATTATCCAACTAAAAGAAAAAATGGTGCTATTATTATATAATTCTTTTCGAGAGCAACAAATCGAAAGAGACACACAATGCTCTCTCAATTTTGAATTGCACGAAAACACAGCATTAACTAACTTTAAATACCTTGCCGAATTCTATAGCTTGGCTTTTTTTTTGAATAATTCACATAAGTTCGACTGATTCTAAATCTTAATTTTGAAAGTTGATGAAATTTAATAAATGTTTCCTATAGAAAACTGAAAATTGGACAGAGGTACCTTAAAACAATTGATAAAACTATGAGTTATTGAGCATTTATTTGCTTAACTCTTGAGAATATAATATTTTCGAATATGTAGATCTTTATCTGCTCTATTTCATAGTATATTTTATTTTAAATATGATACTATATTATTGACTACAACATAGGTGATAGAAGTTCGAAATCTAATTTGATTACTCTTTTAAAAGAAGTATGTCGAAATTCTATGCTGTAATGTGTACGAATGAATAATTTAGATAGATAATATATTAATGGTTCACATACTGATAAAAGCTAAAAATATTTGATGAATTATATTATGGATAACTATCAAACTCGTGTTCATACTTTCATATTTTTTAAAACCGTCCATATTTAGAAGTAGCCAGTTCATTTTTACTGATTATTCAAGAAGTCTGCGTTTTGTTTCCGAAATCTACATATTTATTTCAAAATGTGAGTTTGAATGCATGTGTAACTTTAGACATCAACTTCGGTAAGTAATCACTGTATTCACAGTTTCTGAAGAGAAACGTTTCGGTTTTTTTTGCTAATGTCGAATTCTTTTTAAAGTACCAACGGCTATTTCTTGAGGGTGTGGGTGTGGGTGAGTATGAGTGTGGATGCAGGTGTGAGTCCTTTTCTTCTGCTTACTCACCCTCATCACATCCACACCCTCCCCCCCCCCCCCCAAAAAAAAAGAATTAATTACTATTGAAACAGCTGTTTAATTTTCATTTTAGATATTTTTATTTATTATGAAATACAAAAATACATTTTTGTTAGAAAAAAAAGTTGTGTTTTAATCAAGTTCTTCAATTGTTGGACCATTACTTTGTGATTTCGATGTACTTTCAGTAAATTGTCCATCACTGTAGAGTTTTGTCATGATTGGCAAGCAAAGTTTTTCAATTTCTTTCGATTTATGTTCAAATTCATCTTTCTCAGCTAATTGATTTGTTTCAATCCATTTTAATGTTGATTCAATAACTTGATTAATTTTTGTTTTATCATCATTTGAAAGTTTTGATGAAATTTTATCATCATTAATACTATTTTTCATATTAAAACAATATGATTCAAGTGAATTTCTTGCTAAAATACGTTCCTGTTGTGCTTGGTCTTCTTTTTTATATTTTTCAGCATCTTCAACCATGTGTTCAATTTCTTCTGATGATAAACGATTTTGATCGTTACGAATTTGTATCTTTTTTTCATTGCCAGATGATTTTTCAACTGCAGATACATGTAATACACCATTAGAATCAATGTCAAATGTAACTTCAATTTGTGGTACACCACGTGGTACAGGTGGAATACCGGTTAATATGAAATTTTCTAATAGATGATTATCTTTTGCCATTGTACGTTCACCTTCGAAAACTTTAATATCAACACTAAATTGATTATCTGAATAGTTACTAAATGTTTGCGTTTGTTTTGTCATATCGGTGAATTCCGTTTAATTAATGTTGTCATAACACCACCAACTGTTTTAATACCCTAAGTAACAAAATAAAAAATAAGAATTAATAAAAATTTTGTTTGCTTTGTTTTTCAAAGTTTTTTACCAATGATAATGGTACAACATCTAGAATAAGTACATCTTTAACTTTTCAGATTTATCTCCTGTTAATATAGCTGCCTGAACAGCTGCACCATATGCTACTGTTTCATCAGGATTGATTGATTTATTCAATTCTTTTTCATTAAAGAAGTCTTGTAATACTTTTTGTACTTTTGAAATTCATGTTGAACCACCAACAATTAGAATTTCATCAATGTTTGATTTATCCATTCTTGCATTACGTAGGGCGTTTTTCACTGGTTCGAGTGTCGCACGAAATAGAGCAACACATAATTCTTCCAATGGTGCTCTTGTTATTGATGTATGAAAATCGATACCTTCATGAAGAGAATCAATTTCAATTGTTGTTCGAGCTGATGCTGACAATGTGCACTGTTAAAGAAAAAAACAAAACATCAAATTATTTAATATTTTTTAATATAAAATTAAATTTACATTTACTTTTGCTCGTTCACATGCTGTACGTAATCGTCATAGAGCACGTGGATTTTGTAATATATCCTTATTGGTTTTTCTTTTGAATTCTTGTACAAAATGTGTTACCATTCCACTGTCAAAATCTTCACCACCCAAGTGTGTATCGCCAGCTTTTCATTTGACTTCAAAAACACTATTATCAATAACAAGTATAGATACATAAAATGTACCACCGTCCTAATCAAATATAAGAACATTTTTCTCACCTGTTGTTCTTTTATCTAAACCGTAAGCTATTGCTACTGCTGTTGGTTCATTTATTATTCGTAAAATTTTAAGACCAGTAATAACACCAGCATCTATTGTAGATTGTCGTTGTGCATCATTGAAATAAGCTGGTACAGAAATAATAGCTTCTGATACTCTTTTATCGAGATAAGCTTCAGCAGTTTCTTTCATTTTTGTGAATACCATCGATGAAATTTCTTCTGGTGTAAATATGTTTTCTTCATTCTTATAATCAACTTGAATTTTTGGCTTTCCATTATAATTATCTACTTTAAATGGCCAATGTTTCATATGCGCTTGTATACTTGCATCATCGAATTTACGACCAATAAGTCGTTTAGCATCAAATACTGTATTGCTTGGATTCATAGCAACTTGCTTTTTAGCTGCATCATCAATCAAACGTTCACTATCTGTAAATGCCACGTAGGAGGGTGTAGTTTGATTACCCTGATCATTTGCAATAATTTCTACTTTTCCATGTTGAAATACACCAACACACAAGTAGAGAAAAAACAAGGAAGAAAAATTATTAAAATAAGAACAACAAAATAAATTATGAATAACATACTGAATATGTTGTGCCTAAATCAATGCCAACTGCGCGAGCCATTTGTATCCGATAAAATAAAATATTTTGATCGATAAATTGTGTTGTTTGTACTTTTTAGACAAAGGTTTTGTATGATAGAAATGCATTAGCTCTTGAACAATCAAGAAGATTCTAGTCGTGACCAGAAGAATATTACAAAATTTGGGGAAGAAAAACGGATGTAAAAGATGTGTTATTAATGATGGGTGTGGATGTGGATGTTTCAAGAGACTACTCACACCCATCCACATCCACATCCACACCCGCACCCACACCCCACCCACACCCCTCACCCGCACCCCACACCCAGACCCAATTTTCAGAGATTTCTACCCTAGGCTCCGGCTATTCAAGTGCCAACAAAAAATCGCAATTTTTAAAGCTATTTTCGAAGTCCAATTAGGTAGCTACTCGTTCTCTTTCCTATGAAATAACCAAAAGAACAGTATTTCTTGAAATAACTGAGATATAGACGATGGAACACTGTCATCCTTATTAACAATGTGCTCTATTGATATTGACTCTGCTCCAATCTTGTAAAACTAGCAGAACTATGCTAACATCATATAAATATTACCTGTCCAAGTCAAATAAACGGTATCTTGCAGTAGTTGTTAGATTTCAGACATAAGACACGTATTGTTGACAACTGTAATTGATTCCATCATAGCACATGTTTGCTGCCAGTTATTAAGGATAAAATATTGTAGTTCTCGTCTGAAAGAAAAATAGAATACTGATAAAAATAGTGCCACGATTATTTCAGCTTCATTCGTACAATGTCGCGACATTTTTGTGTTGTGGTTTATTACTTTGGCTGATAATTTATGGACAATTTAATCTCCATGATACTGAAGGAGCATTTGGTACGGCTAGATTGCAGTTTGATTGTTTGCACTATTATGCGCGTAGTGAAAATATCGATACTCGATTTGACACTTCTATAAGTCAACTCATTAAGTACTGTATTCGTCTAATGAACGAAATTGATGCGTCGTTGCCCAATCATAATAGAAATCACAGATCGTTTACATTTGAAGAGCTTCATCATTTGAATGCGACTGTTCAACAATTGCTGACATGGTCAGCTTCAATTGATCTAGTAGAACGATATTTTCTTTACATCAGTGAATCGATTATTAATGTGTCCGAAAGAAATGATCTATTTTTTAACTGCACAAGACCGTGGTTCGGTTCTCGATGTGGGTGTGGGTGTGCGTGTGGGTGTGGGTGTGAAGAGTGGAAAGACTGTTTAAGTGTGGGTATATATGTGGGTATGAGTGTGTGAGTGTGTGGGTCTTGGTATGGGTGTGCGGGTGTTAGTATGAGTGTGGGTGCGTGGGTGTTGGTATGGGTGTGGGTGTGGGTGTGCGGGTGGGTGTGGGTGTGAGGAGTGGAAAGACTGTTTAAGTGTGGGTATATATGTGGNCGATGGAAATAAACGGTAATCACTTATACCTAACTACAAAAATATATATCTCTGAAACCATGATATGTATGAAGATGAAACTTTCACAAGATGTGTAATTATTAGTCATAATTCATATCCTAAAATTTCAGCTCGATCCGTCTGGCGCAAAAAAAGTCGATTTTTCAATCTCTCTTGATATGGATCTAAAGGAGTAAGGCAAAAGTTATAATCGCTTGACTTTCTCAGCTATAATATACATGATGGAATAGAAATACTAGACACTGTTTAAGGCGCCTCATTTTTTCGATTTCTTTCAATCGTTTCCATTAGAATAAAAAGATCCAGATACTGAGTATATCTCAAAAAAATGCATAGTTTTTTAACTCGAGCTATTTTTTGTAAAACATAACAAGAACCAGCAGTTAATCATATTTAAAACTAACAAAAAGTAATTATCTTAAACACATTTTCTAGTCTAAGTAGAAGAAAGTTTTAGCTGGATCAAGTGTACTGTAGCGACGAAATGCGGAGCAATCTTCAAGTTCTTTTTATAAAAAACTTATTTTTCAAAAACGGCGAAATAATACATGAAGTTTGACGCTTTTCGATTTTTCTGACTTTTTTTTACCGATTCTTGAAATATGTCTATTAGATACAGGATACTTCGAAGCATACATATAACAAGAAAGAAAAAGAAAAATCTGCTAATCTTTGCTTGTATCAGCAAGGACCCGTTAAATCCACAGGAATTCTTTACAAAGAGTTGACTAAAGTTACTCATTGATTAATTTTAAGAAAATCGTAGATTAATCGTGATTTTTTGTAAAAAATCAGTTATTTCCACTACGATAACCGGATTTGTAAAATCACTGATTTTTGTACGATTTTGATGACATTTCAAGCAGACAAAAATGTTAGAAAGCACGAGCGACAAAAAATGGTTGTGTGGAACCTAAAAGGTTTCCATTTGAAGCGTGTACACATGTAAAAGATGTCGTGCTATAAGTTGTTTTTTTTTGCATCCAGTTTGTCTCGCACGTGTATAAACCCTCAACAATTCGCAATTTGATATACGTTTTGCGAGATACACTTTATCATCATGACTGAAGAACTGATTGATAGTCATATTAATACTCTGAAAGAGAACTCTTTGTACACTTTTAGAAATAGTATTTTGATCATAAGTATTACTGAAAATTCCCAGTGCTTTAACGATCAGAAACAGGAATTTTGCATGTGTTACGGAATAAAAATTTTTTATTTTCATTTCATTTCAAAATTTCGAGTCTTTATGCATATTCTACATACGCGTGCACGTAGAAAGAATAAATATTATAGTGTTTAAACGCATGATTGCTTTTTGAATTTGTACATATACAAAATGCGTATTTACGAACGAAAAACATTTATAGACTATGATATCCGTTGTGAAACATCTTTATACTATTGTGTGATGTGGCAATCAATCAATTAATAAACAATACAATTAAAGCAAAGAAGTATCTCGTTTTACATTTCATTTTTGTCTGTCTAGTGTTCGTTTCATTATATCGAATATTTCTTCGGTTTAGTTTTCTTCAAGTTCACGTACATAGAATTTTTCTTATCTGTTTTAATAAACTTTCTCTTATATTCATGTTAATTGACTGTAAAAACGACAGAAAAAAAAAGAAAACTTACAAAGATAATATTCTTGGACCTAAAATAAAACTTATTTGTCTTTTTTATCTCTTATCTGAGTCATTCTCGTTCTCTCATATCTGCGTTTCGCTCTTTTTCATCTAGAATGGAAAGTTTATAACAAACATGAAATTTGAGATCCTTTTTTCTTGTGTTTTTTATATGATTTAGGTAACTCATTTTCTACTTATATGTATTCTCATAAACTGTTCGTTTCATTTTCCATTTGTATCATTTCTTCTTTTATTTTGTCTGTTTCATATTCAAACTATTTAATTTTTTTATTGAATATCTTCTGCATTGTATTCATTTCTCATTTGTAGAATGTCTTATTTCATGTATGTTTTTCTTTTACTCTGATAAACGAATAGATAAGTAGGTAAAGATGTAGTTGTATAAATAGTTAAATAAATATACAGTAAGATGAAGAGTTTAGTGTAGAGGTAATTATATAAGCGTTTAGGGAGTTAGTTAACTATAGAGGTGTCGAAATTTCTTTCCCAAAAGAAATTGTACACAAATTCCACTGTTGATTAAGCTCTATTCGTTCACTTTTTAAATAGAATAGATAAGTCTCCGCCGTCGAGTTTTTATTGCTACGAACATCCTTCAAAAGTACTATTCAATGCTATAGTCTCGAATCGTAAAACAAAAACTTTGCCTTTGTTTTTCTATTTGCACAAATCGTTATGAAGATCCAACAAGATCATACACTATCTTGCATTAGTTTTTTCTCAACAAGATTTGATACAACTTTACAAAAAATGTTTATATAATTGAAGGAAAAGCGAATGTTGAAAAAATTTTTATATAGGCCCTAGAATATTTTGTTAAACATGATTATGAATTACTATTGGGGTTTACAGAAAGAGAAGTGAGGCAAAATAGTTAAATGTCGATAATCGAAATAACAGCAGGTGTGAATACCTTCTCCAAAGAACGTCAAAGATTAGATATTGACAAAGGAGTTACGGACAAAAATATCGACAAATAAAAAAAAAGGTCAAATGTCTCAACATAGTATAGAATCGTAATATTGTCTTCTATTTTGAGATATTTTTGTCTTCCTATACTCTTTTTTACTTGTATTTAGATCTGCTGATATATATATGTGTATATATAGTCTATTGTCCCTAGAGCTATTATTGCCGTACGCACCATCATCTTATAATAGTTGACATATAGTTTTGTCTCATACTTGCAAGAATCATTGTTATCTTGTTCTTTTTTTTTATCAGGTCTGCCACTTTTGTTTTGAGCTTTTCGATCAGTAACAAACGCAAAACGATTTTGCATCTGTGACAGATTTATTTATCAATTAAATGTATCTCGACCAAAGATCAAGTAGAGAGTGTCAGAAAAAGGATGTTATTTTTTCCAGTTATCGACATTTGGCAACTTTCCTATCTTATTCCATATTATTCTTAAAAAAAATATTTATTTGTTTTCAGAATCCAAATAGAAGATACCATTTTTTCCAATTTAAAGTTGTACATGCGGTAAAAATTCTGCGGGTATCAATATAAAAATTAGCGTACGCCATTAGATGAAGGGCTTTATGTAACTTGTAGGTGAGCAGTCGTATAGAAAATGATCAAATTCATATTTTATAATTCTCCTCAAGTCATATATATTGATAATTATTCGGTTGAAACTAAATGTCTAATTTTTGCAAACTTTATTGTATAGAAGACATTTGGATTTTTCCACGAATTTTTCTTCATGTCATTACTTGAGAAGCGATCAAAATTTTGAACTACACTTGTTTCAGAAGTGTTAATTAATATCTTCTATCCTCATTATTGGCAAAAAAGAGTCTCGGTATGCCTAACATTTTCGCGTAAGTTAGCCTCTCAACTCTTTTTCCGAATGTTCACTATCGTGCGAATATTTTTACTCGTCGTCACTAAAAATTCGCTCTCTGAATGGAAGATCCTTTAGTTGTATTGTAGTTGTTCAGGCATCAAAATATTAACTGCTCACATGACATAGATATCATTGGTGTAGTCACATATTGTATTATTATGACGCAGTGAAGATTTTCAAGCTTATTATTGATTGAGAGTGATATTGAAGACTACTTCAGATAGATGGAGAATGTCCCGTGATTGACTTGGACCATTTTTCACTTGATATCTGGCGTCTTAAACTAATCGTTCATAGGTGTCCATCCTTTCGTGAATACCTTTTATTATGTCCAATTATTTATCACTACAGTATGATTGTGTCGTATCGATATGTTATAAGTAAATTACTTAAATTTAGATTTTTTAGATTGTACTGACAACCAATGGCAACACCAGTTGAAATTGTTAAGGAGAAAAGTAAGGAAATTATGGTATTATGGACTTCGAAACGCATGAAGGAACTTGTGACTACTTGTTATGCTTCTGATGCTTGTGTCTCAGACAATGGTGTCTTTTACAATGGCCATGATGAAATATTGAAAGCATGTGAAAACTTGCAAGACGTGAAGTTCGAAATGACTCTAGTTGATGCGTCATCTCCATCTGATGATTGTGTCATCCAAACATATGCATGCAAATGGGATGGCAAAGATCGAGATTGCAAACTGACATGGAAAAAGATCGATGATGATTGGAAAATTACTCGTGAAGAATGGAATTAAGAACAACGTCGAATTATCATTTTGAAACATTTGAAACACACTTCAAACTAATATTTAATTTGAAACCTTTTTTGATACTTGCTCCATTTTGTCACATTCTCATTCGCATCGTCATTGCAATATGAGTCTGTGCACTGATTAGAATGAGGATATGACTATAAGGAGCGAGTACCGATTTTTAGTATTTAGTACTGCTTAATTAACACATTTTATGTCATTAAACTATATATTAAAATGACCACAATGCATTCTATACAATTTAACAAAATACGATAATCTCCAGCAACGGAGATCTGATAAGATTTTCGTGGTACAAGTCAGATGTTATTTTTCACACGGACTTCGACATCTATATACAAAATTGCACTACGAAAAGTTGTCAGCTCTCTGTAGTTACTAATACTAATTGATCAATGCGAAATTCTACATGTTCTATGCGTTTTTTTTTTTAATACAGAGATGAAATGTGTTGAGACTCAGAAGACAATATATGTACTGCTGATATACAGAACAAATATTTCAGATTTTTCATAATTCTTTCTTGTCTTCTTATTCTCACGCTGGAATGAAGTAGATTTTTGAAAGATATTCGTACAAGTCTATTTTTAAAACGGAAATAGTCGTTCAAGAAAAATATGAATTGATATAATTCATTTTGTGAAACCCACTGCATAATAAAGTGGATGTAAATTTGTACTCAAAAGCGTTTTACTTCTCTTTTGAAGACATCCACAATTTTTAAAAGTCAATGAGAAGTAGCTTAAAACTAAGAATCACTAGAAATCTTATGTACGTATACGTATCACAATTTATTACATGCGACTGTCATATTCTAGTAACTCTTTTTGTGCACTATGAGCAATCTAATTTGTTCGACAACAATCAGAGAAATTCAACCTAATTTTACAATTTACAAATATTTCTCATCCTGTTTATTTTCATTTTATCCACGTTACAATGGAACAATACATGAAAAATTGCGTGTGAGATTTTGATTTTAATTTGTAACAGAGAAAGAATAAAACGATGAAACTAATAGGAGAACCGATGACCTCTTACTAGCGATGAAACAGCTCGTAAACGAACTGACAGATTAAGATCAAATGCAATAAAAATGAATGCAGTAATACGTCGTTTAACAGCTTTTCATGGGCTTTTAAGACGCTGCTTCTGCCAGTCGAAACTATTCACTTGAGTAACGTTGTTATACAAAAATAATTACGAACTGACGAAATATGACAAAAATATAATGTCCAACTTGAACAAGACGTTAAAAGTAAGATCGCGTACTGCGACGCTGTGGTAGTATCAAAGTGAATATCAGCATACTATTAAGAAAAAGCAGAAGACGACGAAGAAAAATAAACTAAGCGAAAAACGTAGGCCCTGATGCCAGTATAACAACAATTACAAAAAAAAGGAAAGGAAAGCACCTGGACGATCAAAAAAAAAATGCTATACATATCCGACATAAATAAATAACCTAAGACGAGTTCGATTCAACAAATTCTCTTTTTCTAAAGATATTTCTGCGCTTTTGAGAAAATAAGTTCATATTTAAGTCTCATCAAGAATCATCTTTTTAGTATGACTAGCGAAAGTTAGGCAAGTTACCGATCGTTAACGAAAGTAATCATTTCAAACAGTAAAAAGATATTTAGGTCAAAAATAATTACCAACTAGGCAGAAATAAAGATCTGAACCGAAGTCAAACTAATTTCAAAAAGATAGTTGAATATAGTCAAACTTGATATGAAAAATCATTGAACTAGTAGAATCGATTTTTGTAAAAATATAATGCGATCTTCATAAGTGTGTTTAAACAGCATTGATCAACTCTAATGTGAGACCCTTATCATCTACTACTATTGATTAGGAGGAGCTTAGACTACTCAAAACTAACCGAATCTGATCCAACGAAAATTTGTTCGATTCGATTTCTAGACAAAAAGAATAAAGCTAAGAAAACGGCATCATCATTCATTGGAACAAATGAAAATATTCATGAGAAATTTAATTAAGAGTAATGGAAACATTCGTAAATGTAATAGAAAAATGGCCTATACTTGGAAAAATATAATTCAGTTTATATATTTGAGTATTCCTTATCATAGTTCCTATAACTTGTTTATTGTCTTGTCAATTAGCAAACGATATACTCTCTAGATTATTGTTTAAGTTATGTTTTCATTGAATTTATAAACTCTTGCATACATATATATATATTCAAAAAAAATAAGAAAACCACAATCTATAGTGTTTTTTCGTTTGTTGCACATCATCATTTGATTTTTTTCAAACAAAAGGACGAAAAAAAAAAATAGGAAAAAAAAATAAGCACTATTCAGTTCAAACAAATAGGTGAGCTGATTAAACATCTCCTATTGTTTTAGTTCATTGATTCTTATGAACAATCTAATTGATCCATTTCTTCACAAACATCTAAACATACAGAAAAAAAAAAAAACGGAAATTTACTAATAAAAGCAAATTATTATTTACATTCAGGAAAAAGTGATGTTCGACAAGTTGAATTAATCGAATCTGAAGACATTCGTTGTTGAGACTAGAAATATTAAAAACTTGATTTTTTTACTTTCTTTTTTTTTAAAAATTATCTCTTACTGGATTATTGCTTGAGTTAAGATGATCAATTAATGCATTTATTTCACAACGAATTCCTTCGGGATGATTTTTATCAAGTAATCGTTGTAATGCCTATTAAAATAATCAATTAAAATTTAATTGTTTATTCAATTGTTTTCTTACAGCTAATAATTTTGTTGCATTAAATATTGGTAATAGTGTATCTGTATCTTTTTCATCAAAAAGATTACGTAATAATGATAATAGACATAGAAGAAATTGTTCATCTGTACATTGATCAAGTAATGAATAAATACGATCAATTGTTAATCCTTAAGAAAAAAAGAAAAATATTCTTTTTTAGGAATGTTACAATTCAAATTCAAATTCAAGATTAATTAAAATTGAACTAAAAACTAAATTGATCAAGTTGAAGATAATTATAGACATTATTTAAAGTGCCTACTTTTTTCAGTTTATTTTTCTCTTCTTTCATTCGAATAAAAAGATTCAAAATACTAAGCATACGAGAGCATGTTAGATTGGTCTCGGATTTAAGTTCAAAGATTTTGGACTCGACGACGGGCTCAAAGGCGTTGTTCGAAAAATGCATGTTTACTAGTCGTATATCATATTTTAAAACAACAGAAAGTTTCAACTCGATCGAATGTCTTGTGATTGAGAAGTGCGAGCGATTCTCAACCTTTCTTTTCGTAAAAAAAAAAACTCATTTTTCAAAAACAGCGAAATAATACATCAAGTTGGATGTTTTTCGGTTTAGATTGTTTCGGCGAATTAATCCTATGATATTTAGACTTAAAAATCGTTGATTTGTACACAATTTTGATGATGTGGACTGTTAAATTTGTCTTAATTTCTCTGGTTGAACTGATTTGAAAATCAATTAAATATTCAATAGCAAAAAATATTTTCTAATTTATACTATTAAAAAAAACACGAATTTATACTAATGTTTGATATAAATGATATGTTTTGAAATAAAATAAAACTCTTTATTTGTTTAAATTCTAACTGTTTTAGACTTGATCAATTTATTTCTAATTCCGTCTAAACAAATGCCTAATTTAATTGTAACATATATATGGGTGCGACCAACTGGCAGGAGGCCCCATTTCGATACACTCCTATTGTACGGATAAAACATACTATTGTTCGGGTCATATAAGAGAGGATCCTAGATAACCCTAGATTGGCCCGAACAACATCATGTTTNGATAGCGAATAGAGTTGTCTAAAAGAGTATTATAATAATTTGCTATAATTTAATAAAGATTTAGCTATTTACTTCGGTCATACCAAAAGTAGTAACCCAGATACCTTATTTTCGTATAGAAGGCTTGGAGAAATTTTCTTTTTTTATGAACAGATAGAGCGTCTTGCGCTCTATTTTTCTATGCTATTTGATCACTATTTAACTAATATCATAATAATAAAATTTCGATAAAAACTGTTTTTTGTTGAAAACCAGCTGGTAGTATTTAGATCATAATGAATGTGGCACTTTTGCATTTCACTTTATTATTACTTAATACGTTGTATTAAAAAAAAACAACATCTACTACAAGATGCAGCATGAAAAGCTCTAAAATTTACAAAGCACAATTATAAAAAGATGAGATAGAAAAAACCGGATTCGTCTTGTACCAAAACAAAATCTCGTTTTTACAACGTCGAAATTTGGTAGCTCAGAATTTTGTCCATTTTGAAATCAAAAAGTGCAACTATAAAATAAGCGATCCTTTATAAATTGTAGAATTTTTCACGCTGCATCTTGTAGTATATGTTGTTTTTTTTAATACAACGTATTCAGTAATAATAAAGTGAAATGCAAAAGTGCCACACTCATTGGGATCTAAATGCTACCAGCTGGTTTTCAACAAAAAAACAGTTTTTATCGAAATTTTATTATTATGATATTAGTTAAATAGTGATTAAATAGCATAGAAAAATAGAGCGTAAGACGCTCTATCTGTTCATAAAAAAAGAAAATTTCTCCAAGCCTTCTATACGAAAATAAGGTATCTGGGTTACTACTTTTGGTATGACCGAAGTAAATAGCTAAATCTTTATTAAATTATAGCAAATTATTATAATACTCTTTTAGACAACTCTATTCGCTATCTTTATCAAGGTTATCGATACATGAATTGTATCTCTTTTGAGAATGACTCGAACTGATCAAGTTATGCCTTTGAGAAATAACTAATACCAATGTTTCGATATTTATCAAGACATATATATAAAAGTACGTTTTGACCTACTCTAGATATAATAGATATGTACAACAAGATTATGTACCAGTTAAATCAAGGTTAGCATAATAATATTAAGCTAAGAAAAACAGAATAGAAAGTAACAAAGAAAACACAAAAATAGAGCACAAGAAAAAAAAATTCTTTTCGAAATACAGAAGTAAATAAGACTGATTGTTCCATTGACAGTCGATTATCCTAGAAAAACAACTATAGTCTGCTAGAGACTTTTCCTGAAAAGTTTTTTTTTTTTTCAAAAGAAATTCACCTATATCTGTCTGTAATATAGTTACTATATGATAACTATAGTAGACATAACTATCTGTCAACTACTGCTACAACTGTACAAATAGTTGTGTAGGATAACGGAAAAGAATATCAACACATATGTATTCAAATTAACTGAGGATTAGTATTCCAGAATGAAGAATAGGAAATCCGTATACGATTATGTTTTGCTGTATTACATGACTCACTATTACGAACATATTTCTTATTATCACATACGGAGAAATACAATCGTAATACTGAGTCATGTAATACGCTAATATACAATCGTTTACACGCGTGCTTTTTTTTTTTTGCACCTGGGATATCTTTAGAAGTGATCATTATTGTTATTAAACTATTCAATAGTTCGATCGATAGTTCAATGTTATATACATGAAAATGTTATGTAATAATTATTAAAAGTTAGAGATATTAATTTTGTTTCTTTGCAATAAAAATAGCACTAATATAACTAATTGTATTGATTTTGATTGTTTCTAAATAAATCAATTCCATTTATTGGCAAGTTAGAAAAATATATATTATGAAATATTTCATAGATAATTTTCAATTGTCATCGAAGAGAATAAGAAGAAAAAATCAAAACGAAATTTATAAGTAATACTACATTGATGATTATAGAGCGAGTTTTTCAAATTGGACAGTTTAAATTCATACTAAATTTTGTAATCATTTATTTTTAAACTACTTAATTCTGAAAATTTACTCTATGTACATTCAAATAGAATCATTTATAAAGTTTAATTCAATTTCTTCTTACTTAACAGTACATGAAATTTCTCTTGTGAGATCAAAAATAAAAGTTGACAGTTAATATTTATGTTACTCATATGAAAAATAGCTTTCAATAAGTTTTTATCAGTAACTAAAAACATCAGCCTATTCGAGCGAATCGAAGCGAAGATATTTCCATTTGTTATCGTAGTACTATTTATGTTCCACCATTCAAATAACATACGTTTTATTCCACACATAAAGAAGATATTGAATAATGAAAAATCGGAACGCTTTCAGTTTCAGGGTTTTCTTTGTTTAAGATAAACTTCTATTTATGACAACATATCATTTATTCAAAATTAATTTTGTGAAATGAATCGTTTTTATATGATAAGTCGTCTTTGGTATTTATCTAGTACTTAATGCATGTTTATAGCTAGTTGTATCTATATGAAGATCTGTATTATAATTAGTCTAGTGCCAAGTAAATCGAGTTTCAATGAACACAACTTATTATTAATAGAATAATAAAATTTCATTTAAAGAAAATGTATTCTAAACGAAAAATTTCAACTGTAAAAAGAAAAAAAATTTAATCTTATTAAATTATTGAATTTTATGAAAAAAAAAACAATTGATAAAATACAATAGACTTTCAATCTGTTGTATAAATCAATTGAATACTTATAAGATAAATTGAACTTATTAACAATATTCTATGTTTTCAATTGAAATAAAATTCAATACAAATATCATAATTAACTTTTCCTTGAATATTCATTCAATATTAAATTATACAGAAAAAAAAAACAAGATTTTAATACAATAGTCTAAGACTGTTTTGTAAATTGTATTGATTCAATTCAGATAATCGATTTATATTGTATTATGAAAATTTTAAAATTATATATTGCATATAGCATTCTGATCATATAAATAAAAACTAATTGGATATATATTCTTCGTAGTTATTTCGGATTTAACGTAGATATTCAATGCATTCTAATTATATTGATCAAGTTTTTCTTTCTTTTGTTTTCTCTTCCTTATTAAATATGCAAAAAGTAAACATATATATAATCATCTGTTTTTTTCTCGTAATACACTCGAAACGATAATCGTTTAAGTCTATTCTCGCTATAAGATAAGATTAGAAATCATATTGTCAATTATAAATGATTCATTTATATATTATATTCTATTTAAAATATGAAGAAGAAAAAAAAAAAAAAAGAGACAGATAGTTGAAAAGATATCCAATAGGTTAAAATAGATGTGACATGATAATATGCATTGCTCGGTCTGTTTATTTTCAACATACCTTCGAGCAATATAAGGAGAGTATGAAATCAATGGGGATATATACGTATGTATGTGTTCAATGACTGATGACTATTCATATTGATCGAGCTAGTCATTATTATCTGTATCTTTCTTCTTTTTTTTTTTTTTTTTTTTTTGCTCGCTCTTTACCGGCAAATTCATGCTTGAATGCGTTTAATATTAGTATACACTTCTTTTTCGAATCGAAAAACGAGAGAACGACAGAGAGAGAGAGAGAGAAAGAAAGTTTGCGACAATAGTATAAATACAGGCACATATGGATTTATTGCAACAGTAGTAAATTTCAATGCGAACGAAAGCATTATTCAAAGAGATTTTGTGATGTTGTTTTCAAAATTTCACATTCTCTTTCAATAGTGCCTTTGTCTAATTTAATACAACTACGAAACAATGAGAAAAAAAAAATATTAATAAGGTTAAAAGTAAGGGTATAGAAACTATATCACATGGAGAAAGGATTTTAAACATGAAAAAAGAAAGAAAGATTATTTAATTGTCTTCATGTATCAAAAATCCACCAAATGTTGAATATCTCCAACCATATAATGATGTTTTAAAATAATAATCTCCATCTTCACGTGATTGTGCACGTATATATATTCGATCACCTTTATTTAAATATAAAACAACTGTTGTTGATGCTGTATTCCAAATAGGTACTTTTTGGTTTTTCACAGCTGTTAAATAACCTTCAACCCATAATGGTACAACATTTTCAGTATTTTTACATAAAGATACTGATGCCTAAAAAGAAAAATATAAATCAAAACAAAAAAAAAAAGAGAAATGAATCAAACAGATTTCTTTTTTTTTTTTTCTATCAACGAAAAGAAAAAAAGAACAACATACAATATGATTAGCTGGTACACAAACAGTTAAACTAAATTCATATAAACCATTAATAGGTGCATAATAAATACCAGTATTATTATTGAGATTATTATTTTTATTTAATATAACATCATCCCATATGATAATAGCAGCTGTATCTTGTAACGAATATGATTTATTTAATGCAACAAAAAAAGCTGATTTTAAATTTGAATAACCATCACGACCTTGAAAAGTAAATTATTGACAAAAAATAAAAAAAAAATTATTTGTGTGTGTGTGTTATTTAAATTTACCTGGTGGTCCGGGTAGACCTGGAGGACCACTTGGACCTTGCATGCCTTGTTTACCTGGTGGACCGGGTGGTCCTAAAGGACAAGAAAAAATTGTTTATGTTTTTTTAATCCTTATCTTTCAGGAGAAAGAAAAAAAAAAAGTACCAGCAGGTCCTTGAATATCAAGTGTAACACGACTCCGAGCATCTAAAACCACAAGGAAAAAGAGAATTTTGAAATATTTGATGCTTGTTTTTTATTTATTTACTTGGACAATTAATATGTAATTTGCATTGATTTGCTGATGATTTTTTACCTGCTATATTGCCATATGTTACTGCTAATGAAGATGATGGATATTGTTGATCGGGATAATCATTGCTATTTTGACTTCGTTTACCTGCATCCGATGATGGTATTGGTTGTTGTTGTTGAGATCGATATTCATAATAATTATATGGTGGTGGTGGTGGTTGTGCTGCATAAGAACCTGTATTAACTAATGAACCGGGATCAGCTGTAACGATTATTGATAAAATAATAAATCCGAATATGATTGAATAAAACATTATAAATACTCAAACTATGAAGAGAAAAAAAAAGAAAAACCTAAAATAAGATGTTGATAATTTCATCAATGGAATTCAACTAAAAACTTATATCGAACAACAGGAGGTAGACAAATAGAATTGTTTTTACGGTTAAGATATGAAATTGAAAAGAAAGAAGAAAAGAAGTCAATGAAATGTATAGAATCTATGTTTTTCCATGTATGATACTGGTTGATTAAACACTTTCCAACTTGTATATCTGTGTCTGACAATGAATTAGTATATGTAGATATATATATATATATATAGCCATATATCAACGTTCTAATTTATATTGACATACGCACTTGGTTTCTCTATAGAAAAAAATTGTCAATAGAAAGACATCTACCTTATTTCCTTTGTATATATATAGGTTTGCGTTGATAATATTTAGAAAACGAAGCATAAGAAACACACGCACTTGATTAATTATTGAATAAAATCCAAACCTATATGATGGCTTTATTTATCATTCGTTGTGTTGTTGTTGTGACAAGGGAGACGACAGAATCAGAATAGAGAAAGAAGAAAAATCTGAAAAAAAGAAACGGAAAAGTCACCGAGCATAGTAAAAGGGGTGTTCAAGATTGATCTTTTCTTCTTATTCTTTCTAACTCTATTAGTTGAATAAGGAGGAAGAAAGATGATGGAGAGAAATACGAGAAAAAAAGAAAATGTAAATAGTACACCTTTACTCTCGTCGTATTGCTTTCCGGTTTCAAAAAAACCTATTCTTTGTATACAACAGAATAGAGATGCATGCTTTTCCCTGTGATTTTCTAATGTGTCAACATAAAAACGAGATTTGATGAAGAGAAATGAGTCTAGATGTACGTACGGTCTTTTTCTTTTGTAATAAAAATAAAAAAGAAAACATAAACTTAATCAAAATCGAAGGTCAAATCAAGGCTTTATTCTTTACTATACGGATGGATAGCATACCGATCGAATTTCTCATGAAGTGCATCATCTTTAGTTTTTTTTTTATTTATTCTTTATTCTTTCTCATAGTCTACAAAGATAAGAGATGTAGGATGTGCCAAATGCATCGTAATCACATAAGTAGAAGTTCAATTGGTGCAATCAGAAATTATCCTGATTTTTTCGCTTTTGCCTACGGCTATTCATACTGATGAATTAACATGAATCTCACAATGAAGTATCTTCCTCACCCAAAAAAAAAAAAAATTCTATGTTCTTAATGAGACAAGAACCTCTTTTAAATGTTAGATATATTCTAAAATCATAGATTTCATGCGGCAAAAAACAAAAAAAGAGAGAAAGCGAGAGACAGAGAGAGAGAGGAAAGTTCTTTTTATCTCTTCTACTACTATTAAATAACATCATAGGAAGTAATTTTCGTCTTTGTTAAAAGCATAATGTATTATATTTTGTTGTTATCGTCATTATTAGTGATTCATTTCGTCTTTTTTCTTTTTTTTGTTTCAATATAGGAGTTAAAAAAAAATAATTAAGATGAATAAGTGATTATTAACAAACGTCAATTCGATTACATTACACATGAATAATTCACAAACAGAATACTATTCTATTTTGTGAGCCGAATAATAGAAAACTATCAGAAAAAAAGAATGCTCTTGTAAGTTTGCTAGATATCATAACTGACACATATTTGAATGAATTTGTGCACGAGTTGTTCGAGACCGAACATAGTTAGATAATTACCAAAGTGAAATATCTTTAATTTTCCTTTTTTTTTATTGATAAGAAAAAGAAAATTATTTTTTTTTGCTTTTAATCATCAGTAGAATTATAATTATTTCTAGGAGTTGAAATTGATTCTTTATGTTGCTGATTAGTTTTTATCTTTCTAGTTGATTTTGTCATTGTCGATGGTGATGATAATTTTCGTATTTGATGTTTTGTTGATTGTATTGTTAATGAATCTTGAATGGGTATTCTAATCTATTGGAAAAAAAAATGAGATGAATTAGAAAATATTCTTGAACGAATAACCTGATTATCATTGACAATTATATCTGGAAGAAAATGAACATTTCGTGTTATGGATTTTGATGTTGAACTATCCGGAGATTTAATAATAAGAATAGGCTTTCTTGTAATAGTATTTGCTGATGCTGTTGACATCGTTGTATTATTTGATCTATATGGTTGGTTAATGATTTTTAACTTCACTGTTGGTGGTGGTGATTGTATATTATTATTATTCATCATACTGTGTGAAGTAATGAATTTTTTTTCAATTATATTTGATACGGAACATGAATAATGATTAGTTAAGTTTTGAAAATATTTAATATCATTAAGTTCTAACTGATTTTTTTCTTCATGTATTTTTTTAATTAATTTTTCTATATGAAAATCATTTGATTTAGATTTATTTCGATGAAAAATATTTTTACGAATAATTTCAGTTGGTAAATCAATAAATAAACTAGATTCAGGTTGAATTAAATCATGATTATAAGAATAGATGCGACTTATTTTTGGTAATCGAGAACAAGATGAAATTAATGATGATCGATTTGTTCGATCAACATAAAATTCGCCTGATAATATGTCATTTTGATTCCAAGGATGAAGTTTATTAAAAATAGATTGACATAATAAAGGTCTATTCGAAACATGTTGACAAACTGGTAATGATGCTATTAATATTGGTGATAGGATAGAATATCGACATGCTATACCTAATCGTGACTAACATACAAAAAAGAAAAATGTTTAAATATGTACTTTTAAATACAAGAATATGTATAGTAAACATAGCAACGGTTTTCAAGTATGCTTATCGATAAAACAACAATCCGTCTTTTTGACATTCACCATGACTAAAGGAATTTGTTAGAATATAATTTTGCTCCTCTTACCTTTTGCTTTTTGTGACATTCAAAAAAAAAACAAAGAATAAAAATAAGTTTTAAATCATTTAAACTGTACATTTGTTGAGAAAAAAAAAAGCAGCGGGAAAAGAAATGTCAAAAGGTAAAGCATTGAATGATGCTGCTGAAAAACATAGGGTCAAACAAACGTACCCATGTTCTTACATAATCAGATTTTTCGATATAATTTGCATATCCATTAGCCTGAAATGCATTATATCATTGAAGCAAAAAAAGTAAAAGTAACAAACAATATTCAATTACAAAAATGAGCGTTGAAATAGTTTATAATAAGCAAGCAGATAGATAAAACTTATTCGAAGAAAGGTCGGGGAGATATTAGTTAAAATATAAATATGTTAAATTTTAAATTAAGTAGATGAATGATTGGGTTTGGCATGTAAAGAACATTTACAATTGGCATCATGCTCACGTTTGATTCTTCGTTCGAATTCTCTCACCTCTTCTGCAGATAAAAAGTGAGATCGTGTTGCATCAAGCTAAAATACAAAGTAAAATGATATTTTTATATCTGAATAATTATTATGCGTATTTTACTGGTCGATGTCTTGGCATAGATGCAACATATGCTCGATTTCTTTGTTGTCCACCATTATTTTGAATACGTTTTTGTTCTTCAACTTTATATTGATTTGCTGCACGAACTAATTTTGAATATGTTTTTCTCTTTCGTTCTGTTTGAAGCTGAAAATAATATAAATAAATTAATAATAAAAGCAAAAATTTAATAATCTCGAACTTTTTCTTCATATGCTAGATGATCAGCATTACCAAATGCAGGACCAAAACCACCATTTTGTACAAAAGTTTTATATTGTGTCATAATCGATTTTTGATTGACTTTTTCATCTTGTAAACGACGTCGATGATCTTTAAATGCACTTACATAACTACCTATATAATAGAAGAAAAAAAAAAAAACAAATCTCTCTTTTCTACTAATCGATATTTTATAACTAACCAGGATCAGGTGCCGAAAGTCCATAAAGATATTCATGAACATTAAAATTATTTGAACGTTGACCATTTAAATTTATTGAATCAGATTTATTATCATCGATTTGATTACGACGTGGTTTAAATTTTTGTTGATTTTGATTTGATTCAGGTGAATGATCATTATATGGAGAAGAATTACGACTTTCTCTACCGGACATATAATCTGTTGATGGTGTTTGACGATTATGATCAATGATTTGTACGCGTTTTTGTATCGGTTGAGGTGGTGGAGGATAATTTGATCCTCGATTATCAATTTGTTGATTTGAATAACCATTATTTCGCGGCTGCATTGGCATATTATGTTCATAATGTGGATTATGAATGATTGTTGAATCAAGATCAACATTCGAATTTTCGTTAGATTGATATTGATCTTTTGAATGTTGATAAGTTTGAGGAGCAGGTGGAGGAGGAGGAGGAGGAGGATGAGGTGGACCAGCCGGTATCGAACGTCTTTGTGGTTGTTGATTTTTTATTTGAGGATGATTTCGATGATTTGTAGGTGGAGGAACATATCGCGGATTGTATGTGGTATTATTTCGATTAACCTTAGAAGAAAAATTAAGTAGCAATAAAAATTATTTTTTGTAAGTCTCAAACAAACAACAAAAAAAAACAAATAAAATAATTCTACTAACTGTTTTACCTACCGTTTCAGAACCTACTCCCGATCCAGAAGGTGAATAAAATGTTTCATAGGTACCAGGATAGAGGGATGAAGTTGCTACGGCAGGCAGTTTCCATGTTGGTGCCAAAAATGAGTATTCTTCTTCGAGAGCATTCATTTTTTTTGTACTATTACTACAACATACATGCAAAGTAATGTATTCAGCATATGTTTGAGTATGAGACCATTAAATGTTGCTCTTTACAAATGCACAATGTTTACTTTCTAATAGCTGAAGCCTTTGACGCAAAAAATTTTCTTCCTTTACCATTAGTATGATGTAAAGATTTAAAGAGAAAGAATTATTTCAATATGAGAAATCACTAAGGGAAAAAATACATTCTTTATTAATACACACAGAAAATCACTTTGACATACTTCAAGTCAATTCAACTTTACAATTAAAAGCATGCTGTTATTCAGCAAATTCAAAAGACACAAGTTAGTAAAAAAAAAAGAAAAAATAGAAAGAAATTCGAAATAATGAAAATAAAAAGTAAAAAAAAAGTTAACGTAAAGAAATTAAACAGAACGATAGAGAAAAACGAGAGAGAATTAAATGGTGCTGATGTAAAATACATCTTAGCGACGAATAAAAAAAAAAACTACGTTCTTTGTTGTCATTTGTTAAAAATAGAAGTATGTTATTTTTTGCTGTTGTTCATAGTTTAGATAAAGATTAGTAATGTTTTAATATTTTCTTTAGAATTAATTTCATTTTTTTTTTCTTAGTGGTTGAATAATGTCAAAAGAGTCCTGTTATTTTTGATAATAGTTATTTATGTTGATATGATTATTGGTAAAATATGAAATTGATAGAGAGTATTTTGGGGGGGGGGGGTTTACTCAGTAGTTTATTTTTATTCTTAATGTTGCAAAACTATTTGGTAATCTAAAAGGATGTTAAAACGATTGAAGGGATAGGAATGATGACTCAGGAGGCTGATTGAGAGATTTGCTACAATCGATCGTATTTGGGATGGAGAGGAATCAAGCGTGTTTTAAAAATTATTAAGCAAAAACAAAAAAATGAATGAAGCACTGGAACACCACTAGTGAAAAACGAAAATTCCTCAAGACTGGAGTCACACTCCTGGCAATCGAATTTGAAAAGATATAAAACAATTTCTTTTTTAGAGTAAATGGTTTCGAATAAAATACTAATTGATTACGTTCATATCATCTAGATTTAAATGATCAAAATAATTCATTCGAATAACGATTTTTTTCTATTGTATATCATTAAACATAAAATGAGAATAATTTATTCACAAAGCAACAAACTTCCTCAATTGTTTTTAGCTATATTAATCATTGAAAAATAGAACAGTTTTCCGCAGATTGATCCCTATAATACGCGTAAATAAAATAGTAACATTTGCATTGTTGTCGTTCTTTGTTCTTCATTCATACAAACAAAAAAGATGGTATATTAAGTTTTTTTTTTCAAATGAATTAATAAATCGAATTCATATTTTATCTTGAAAGAGATTCTGTCCAGATTCATGATTTTCTGGCTGGGAGACTTTGGAAAATTGGAGAAGCTTAAAATTAGTATTACGATGATCGTCTTCGATGGGTGGTTCTACTCGGCTATTACCATTTCCTGACGGAAGCCGGAAAATCCGAACATCCTATTCCTGTTTCCACCTTCCTATCATTTTGCACAATCTTCTTGATGGAATTGACTGCATATCAATCATCTTCGTACTCATATTATTTGTACATGAATTATAACTTAAAAGGATAACTCTTTTTTTTCTTCGATGAACTTGAATCGATTAGAAACTTGACGAACCAGAACATAAAGAACTACATAGAGTAAAATTTCAAATAACACTTTATCATATGATAAAAAGTTACACAAATCGCTTGAATTATTGAAGAAAAAAAAAATATATTCACGTTATGTTTCATAGAAGATTTTTGGGACGCCCTGTATTAGTATTTCTGATCAATAAAGAAAAAAAAAACAAGATAAAGAAAAAAAATGTTTTGTCATCGTACAATCTATCGTTTTTTATATCGTGCGCCTTCCAATGATTCAAGTGTTCTTTCTTCTCGTACAGTAAACAAATCATCATCAGTATCTCGATTTTTCATTCGAATACTTTGTTGTTCACTTGTTTCATCATTTTCAGTTTCTTCTGTTTCACTTGTTGTTCGTACTGATGAATTATTTTTATGAAAACGTTTATTTTGTTTTTGTTTACGACTATAGTCAAAATCTGATACATCATCATCTTCTTCATCGGATGCTTGAATTGTACTTGATTGATCAGTAAGCATTACTGTACGATTATTTTTATTGTCAATCATATTATCATTATTTGTAACTTTCGTATATGTCCTAGCTGTTGTTTTTATTGTGGAACTTGAATTAGATCTTTTTGATGATTTGGAATCATCATCATTGATTTCTTCATGAGATGTTGTTTCATCACTTGATTGAGATTCCTATTAATAATAATATGAAATTTTTATGAGAATCAAATTGAAATAAGTACTTCATTTAGAGTAGGCCAGAGACGTGAACGACGTTCTATTTGATTTGCTTTAGGACCATAGTGTAAAGCAAAATTTCGATAACGAACTCGTTCACCATAAGATTTTGATTGATTATAAAGTTCTTTCTAATAAAAAAAAGACAGTTAACAATTTTTATTTTTTGAATGTAATAGATAGAAAAAAAAACCTTTTCTTCTTTTGTCAGGGAATAAAGATTTCCTTTTTTAAGATCGATAAAATCCGACCATGGTGATGGTTTAATAGCATTATGAAGTAAATCATCTTTAGTTGAACGTCTAACATAATTACCATAATTTAAACGTTTTGCTGTTGATTCATTCTATGAAAGTTAATAAAAGAAAGAAAAAAAAATACACTGTTTTTTTTTTTTATTTCTATACGAATGAAATAAAATTATTTTACTAAGTCTCTTTGTTGTTGTTCAGCACGATCTGAACGAAATTTAGTTAAAGCGTTACGAAATCGCTCGCCTGGGTCCTTGTGAATATTTTCACGTTGAACGACTGGATCAGTCTGATTCTAAAAACAAAAAAATTAAACTCTCATTTAATTGAAAAATTTCACATGCAATCAAACAAATAATACGAAAGATTACATGACTCATATATTCAATGAATTAATAGCTCAACTTTTATTAAGTAAATTGGCATTAGAAATAAATGCGAACGTATAAGAAAAAAAAACCATTGTTCGAATTTGAACTAAAAATTATATTTATCTGTTCTATAGTTTTACGAAAATGATCTTATAAATCAAAATATAAGTCATGAGAGATGACGAAACAAAAGTTTCATTTATCGACTACAGAAAGAAATTCTTGAATAATTTTCTCTAGACTGAGGTTATGACCGGAAGCTCACTATATTAAAATGTAATCATAGGTATAATTAGTATCGATGAATTCGATTTGTTTCAATACTGATATCGATTTCATAAATGAGTAATGTTGGTATAACCAATTCAAATTGATACCATATCGATTTCATCTTCAATAAACTTCGATGAAAAGATCTTTTTTTTTTTTTAATGAATTTAATCTCGACGAAATGTCTCTTAAGTTTTTATTGATCGAGAACAATAATGTAAGATTCGATTGACTTAAGCCTTTTCCACATTTTGAAAAATTTCTTTTGGGCGAAGTATATTTAAATCATATGAAAATCTTTTTTTTTAATTCTTAATTTTCAAGGGAAGAAAAGTTCAATGTCTAAAAAAATGATGCTCTAGTTATAAAAGTACTCTTTAATACAATAGTAACAAAACTGAATTTAATAATGAGATGCCGTCATGATCTTTTAAATAAAAAGAAGGAATTGCCGCACAAAAACAAAACATTTAATTTATGTTAACATTTTCTCCTTTACTATAGTTTATTTAATGTCTAAGCATAAAAAGAAAAAAATGAAAAGAGGAATTGAAAAAAGTTGATTACTTAATATTTCCTAAGATGAATCTCAAATGCTAGATAAGACTCAAAGATGAACCATAACGATTTCAGTACCGAAACCAAAATTTTAAAGTTTATCGGACATACAAAAAAACGTTATTCCAACCGAACTAAAGATCATATGTAAATTTTCTATGGATCTAAGCAAATGATCTTATAAATCATACCAATCAGAACATAACTCAAGAGAGATGACCGAAAAAAGTGCTAGCCATCGACTGAATACATCAACAAACGAATACTGCAAACTTTTTTTATATATTGTACAAATAAATTCTGGAATAGTTTTCTTTAGACTAGAATAAAAAAAAACTTGATTGTACATCTCTATCTGAATCCTTAGAACACGCCTTTTCGATGCCATGCCAATGAGAGTACATGAATGTTCTACACTAGAGTTTACTTTATACTGGAACATTGATGAGTACTTAGCGGTGAATCCTTCCAGACCAGGGGCTTACTAGGGAACCTTCCAAGGTGCGGGAGCGCTTTTCAATCGGGGTTTCGTGCATCTTGTAGCCCGTAGTGATTTATGCTTACGGTAAAAAAAGTTCGAGTTTCTGGCTTGTTTCTGAGGAGATATCGAGCTCTTAGTGAATTTTCTCTATTGTATGCCTACATTGGCAGCAAAGCTATACTTTCGAATTTTGACCTAGAACTTTGCCTGCATACAGGCCTCAGCTAGACTAGTTTGCATAAAAAATTTCAGAAGTTTTGAATAAAGTCTCTCTAAGATATGAAACTATCAAGGTATAGTCCGTTTTTCATAAATAATATATATAGTATGCATTTTTTTCAAAGCTTCATATCTTTGAGAGACTTTATTCAAAACTTCTGAAATTTTTTATGCAAACTAGTCTAGGTGAGGCCTTTATGCAGGCAAAGTTCCAGATCAAAATTCGAAAGTATAGCTTTGCTGCCAATGTAGGCGTACTATAGAGAAAATTCACTAAGAGCTCGATATCTCCTCAGAAACAAGCCAGAAACCCGAACTTTTTTTTACCGTAAGCATAACTCACTACGGGCTACAAGATGCACGAAACCCCGATTGAAAAGCACTCCCGCACCTTGGAAGGTTCCCTAGTAAGTATTACATAACATTACAGAAAAATAATCAAAAATACGTGGTTGTTAAATATAATCCCATGACCTTAGCTATTCCTTATATGTTTTATTAAAGAAAAAAGTACTTCCAATGTAGATAATAATCCGCATGTATTTACATCGTATTATTTATGCTTGATAAAATAATTTTTGTTTCAATCTATACATTAAGCCTATCTGACTTTCTATAAGTATAATCATCTTTGTTTAATGACTCTTTCTGTTTTTTTTTTGTTTATAAACCTTGAGAATTTAATAAATATTTTAGATAATTTCAAAAAGCATTTAAAATAAAAAAAAAGCTTTTTTCTTTAAGGAAGAAAGAAATGTTACGTACGGAAATATTTCTTCACCTTCTATTAAGTACTGATTCCATGTTCTTTTTTCTTTCTTTTGCAATCATTTATATTTAAAGTTTTCTTTCATTTTTTTTTCTTCATTATGATAAAAGCATTTTCTAATATGTATATATATATAAATGACTAGTACTCAAAATACTATTTACATTATTTACAATGACATGTCATTCAGCAACTAAGGATAATTCTATTAAATAAAACTTGATCTAAAATATTTTCAATTAAGTTTATCAAATCATTTAATTGATTTAGTTCGCATAAATATAATTTCATAAGAAATATAAACATATATTTCTTGGTTAAACAAAGTTTTTTGTTATTAATAACTATACAAATATTAATATAGAACAGAGTATTTTCTTTCTTATTCTTATCTATCTATATATACAGATATATGTATATGTATGGTCAATCAGAGTTCTAATGGATGAATGAATGACTAATGAAGTAAAATGATCTCTTGATGGATTCAATCCCTGGATGTATATGTGCATTACTACAGATGCCTTGATTATTGTAATGTTGCCATTCTTTTTTCGTTCTCACATTGATAAACAGACGAAGCCTCGATTCCATAATGTCCTTGTATTAGTTCTTTTTTTTTTCTTTCGTCCTCTTCTCTACTTCGTTGTTGTTACCAACATTAGACATTTTTTTTGTTTATTGTTTGTTTTTGTAAGTATTATGTATCAAATACATTCTGACGTGTTATCTTAGTGTATTTATAGACTTGATTAGTATGTTCGTAGTGAAGCATAAATCTATAAAGAATTTATTTAGTTTTCAGGTTTTTTTTTTTTTTTTATGCACAATTGTGATTGTAGTTGTTTCTAATTCACACATATAAGCATCGTATTCTTCCTCTAGTGCATGTTTTCTAGATTGGTAAGCATCGACAATAGTTAGACTATAAAGGGAAAAAAAATGTAATGTGTGTTAGCGAAAAAAATAATATTACTCGTTGTGAAAAAAAAAAAAAGAAAAGAAAAAAAAAGAAACCCTAGCGAACAACCGAATGATAGAGAAAAGAAGAATGAGAGAAGAGTATCTTAATTGGTACTCTTTCCATTGTGTGTATATAATGCTTGTGTGACATTAAAAAAACAAGACATCACCCATGTTCGATAAAAAAAGAGGTTACAGAGGTGTTGTTAAAAGACATATATATATATTTTTCGAAGAACGTTCTATTTCTTTATTTTCAGATGGTCTATTATTAGCGAAGTTTAAATTATTGAAGAAAAAACCAGAAACACATTTATTGACTTAATTGTTTTTTTTTTTTTGTATAGGTATGATACTGTCTTGATTCGTTTTGTTTTAATGTGTATCAGCTGTATATAGCCTTTTGAGAAAAAACCAATAAAAAAAAAAAAAAGAAAAAGAAATCGAACGACGTAGAGAAACTTTGCAGCAGGGTTATAAAAATCAGTATGGAATAGAACAAAAAAAAAACTCGTAATGTCTATTCTATAAATGAATAAGTATCTATATCATGCATCCAAAAATTTCATTAAAAATAAAAAGTTCTTTTTCTCTTTTGACGTCAATCTTTATTTACACTTGATAAGCATATTTTTTCATATTCTTTCAAAGGTAAGTCGGCGCTAGCATACCTCGATTTCCATGAAAAATATCAGATTAATTAACATGATTTGTCAATCATTGATAGGTTTTTTTGCTTTTCTTTTCTTTTATAGAAATTACTCTATTCATAAATCCAAACCCCTAGATGAAAATTGATAATGCACTACATAGCACACATATCTATTCATTTTTGTTGTTCAAATGTCAGTAAAAAACATGTAAGCTGTCATTAGAATACATAAACAAGAAATAATCGATACTAGTAAGTAATAGGAAAAAGCGTCAAATATTGACACGATGTCAGTTTTTTTTCTAAATAAGTCATGATGAAATATATTGTATATACGTATATAACATTATTAAAGCTAATTTAGAGTTTTTTTTTGTTCTCTTTATCCCAACGAAGGTATTGACGTCATGTTGACGTCAGCATTAAGGACATAATAAGAGTAGAGTTTCCTCGTTTGTTGTTCTGTATATAAATGACATCATGATTCATAGATGAATTAGAAGTCAAACAAAAACAAAAAACGAAATGAATATCATAGTTTAGCGTAAGATCATCGGAGATGATTCAGCAACGAATCGAGGTGTTGTTCTCTTTTTTTTTCTTTTCTTTCTTCCGACTATACCTGGTTACTAGTAAAAACATGACATTTTTCGTCATTTTACAGACTCGTCACTACCAACATACATAAACTATAGACTGCATATTTACTCTTGGATGTTAAATAATTTATATTATTAATATGAACGAAATGAAAATGGAAGAAGAAAATGGAAAAGATGTACATAAATTAATGAATCAAATGTTATCTTCAACACCAACTTTTGAAATAGTTCGACAACAACGTTTCGAAGTTGGACCACGTTATACTGATTTAAAATTTATTGGTGAAGGAGCATATGGTATGTATAAAAATGCAAAAAAAAATATCAATTATGTTTTCTTTTATATGTCTAAAAATAATGTTTTAAAACTTTCATGCGAGCAAAGTTTTCTATTTAATACGTTTTGCCTCACTCAAGGACATTGAGTTATTTATTATTGAAACAATTCTTTCATCATTTTCCAAGCCGTATTTAAACATTTAATACGTCATATTT